AATTCAATAAAGTTTTCAGCTTCTGATACTTGCAAATATACATAATTCGCGAAGTCTTTGCTTGTTATTTGTTAGAAGCTTTAGAAAACGCTTCCGCTGCACGTCGCACTGCCGTCGTTTAACATTCTGAAAAACTTTATTAAAACCAAAAGTATACTCTATTTAATCCCTCGTGGCAATGGAGAACATACCAGCAACCACATCGCCGCAGGAAACCGCACACTCTGAGACAATCACCACAGCAACACCGCAAAGTGCAACTCCGCAGGAAATCCCGATAGATGAGGCTGACAAAATTGGCCACGCCACGACAATAGGCCTTGAAAGGCCCACCGCTGGTACCGCGCCTAATCATCACGCATCTACGCCTGTTCAGCACTCAGCACAATTTGCGTCAACGAGTATTGCGGGCACTTCTGGGAATATGGCGACATCTTTGTATGGATCCTTGCCGCTTTACACACTTATCGGTTCCCACACTATGGAACCGCCAGGGACATATTTTCCATTGAACACGCGCAATGTCGTCCCTAACCTCGCCGACATGGTGACATCTCCTTACGTCACTTCATCGAATTGCATGACGACCATGCTGCCCAACCTAACCTCAAACGCGACTTTATGCAATATAGCACCAGCCTTCCAGCAATTCCCTTCGTACACTGCTATGCATAACCCGCCAACATCTGTCAGTTCTTCAGGATTTTCTTATCCGAATTTTATACCCGCTCAAACTATATCGTCTGGGATGCATTCAAATGCTACCCCAACATGTAGGAGCACATTGGCTGCCGATGTCAACTTAACTGCGGCGCATATAGCTAGTCGCCAAGTACTCACAAAAGACCTGCCAACATTCTCAGGGCGACCTGAGGACTGGCCCTTGTTCATAACTAACTATGAACAGTCTACAATCCGGTGCGGGTTCAGCGATCAGGAAAACCTCATCAGATTGCAAAAATGCCTTAAGGGCCCAGCTTTAGAAGCAGTTCGCGGTAGACTTATGGTGCCGTCTACGGTTGGCTTAGCTATTAACACACTCCGCATGTTGTATGGTAGACCAGATGTTATCCATCAAGCGATGCAGCGTAGACTGAGGGAAGAGCCATCGGTCAAGCCGGATAAATTAGAAACTTTAGTTGCGTTTTCGTTAGCCGTACAAAACTACCGTGCGACAATGCAGGCCGTAGGCTTAACCGACTATTTAAATGATCCGGTTTTATTAAATGAGTTAGTAGCTAAGTTACCATGCAGTCAGAGGCTGAGCTGGGGCCAGCAGTGCATGTCGCTGAGCCGCGCTGACATTGCTGCTTTCGATGAGTGGCTTTTTAGTCTTGCTATGTGTGCGAGCCAGGTGACGTCTCTGCAGCCATCAGCGGTAGCGTCAGATCACACCAACAATGAAATGAAAAAGGGCAGGCGCGAAGCGCATAAAGCAAGAATTATGGTACACGAAGTTATGCCAACCGACAAAGCAATTAACTGTGTGAAATGCAGGGCAAATCACAAGCTTTCTGACTGTAATGCGTTTATCGCGCTCTCCAAAAATGACAGGTGGAAATTTATTCGTGAGAAAAGATTATGCTTGCGCTGCTTTAAACCTCATTTCATTCGGCGCTGCACTTCAAAAAAATGCTGTGGCGTTGATAGTTGTAAAATGGCCCATAATCCTCTGCTACACACTACATCATCAGAGGCGATCGAAAAACGAGAGCAAACAACATTATATCACGAACCCGTTACTGTAGATGACAAAGAACAACAAAGAACACTTTTCAGGTACGTGGAAGTTACTTTACATAGCGATAGCAAATCAATAAATACGTTTGCGCTGATCGATGAAGGTGCATCATGTACGTTAATTGAGTCTGAGTTGGCAGACGAGCTCGCCTTAGATGGGCCAGTAGGTTCTCTTTGTTTGCGCTGGACGGGAGAAATCACTCAAAGCGAAGTACACTCAAAATGTGTTAGCCTCTTTATTTCCTCCACCGTCGTACCTGCTCAAAAGTACAAACTTATCAATGTTCGCACTGTCGCCAATCTCGGGCTTCCCCAGCAATCACTTTTTAGTGACACAATTTCCAATAATGCGCATTTTAAGGGTTTGCCGATTCGACCATATAATCGATCCAGGGCAAGAATTTTAATAGGTCTAGACAATGCAAAAGTGGGGGTTCCTATAGAAATAAGAGAGAATAAAGACTCCAACCTTATTGCCGCAAAGTGCCGTCTTGGATGGAGCATTTACGGGCGAGGTACAATTAATTGTACCGAGCAATCACGGGTTTTTCACACTTGCGAATGCAGTCCATCTGCAGAAGACCGTATGGACCAGCAAATGAAAGCGTTCTTTTCGATTGATTCAACTGGGGTATATGCACCAACCAAGCCTCTCCTATGCAAGGATGATGAGCGTGCAATCAAACTCATGGAAAATAGCACGCGCTTCTGCGCTGCTGAAAAGAGATGGGAAACGGGATTACTTTGGAAAAACGATGTTGTCGAACTTCCCGATTCGCTTCCAATGGCAATACGTCGGCTTTCATGCTTGGAAAGCAAAATGGAACGTGATCCGTCTACAAATCGTTTTTTAATTGATATAATACAAGATTATGAGCGAAAAGGGTATGTACGGAAACTAGAAAAAAATGAGATAGAACATAGCGGGAGGTCTTGGTACCTTCCCATATTTACGGTTCTTAATGCCAATAAAAATAAAACGAGATTAGTATGGGATGCAGCAGCGAAAGTAAGTGGTATCGGGTTGAACGACATGCTGCTTAAAGGACCCGATCTGTTGAAGTCTCTCCTGGGCATACTCTTGCGCTTTCGTGAACGACCCTTCGCGGTTTGTGGAGATATACGCGAAATGTTCCATCAGATTAGGATTATAAAAGAGGACCAAACGGCGCAAAAGTTTTTATGGCGTAATGGTGATAGGTCCCGTGATTACGATGTATACGTAATGAACGTTATGACGTTCGGTGCCTCGTGCTCCCCATCATTAGCCAATTATGTGAAGAACCGTAATGCTGAGCGTTTTGCAGATCATCATCGCGATGACGTGCATGCTATCGTTGAAAATACGTTTGTTGATGACTGGCTTCAGAGTGCTGACACGGAAGACGAATTAGCTACCCTTGCAACTACTGTTCATTGGATTCACCAAGAAGGCGGTTTCCAAATGAGAAATTGGGTGTCGAATTCAAAAGGGGTACTGGCTTCATTACACGCTGAGCACGCTGCTGATGCCAAATGTTTTGAGGAGCCGGAAGCCGTTATTGAGAAGGTACTAGGCATGTGGTGGCAGCCGGTCTCAGATGAGTTAACGTTTTTTGAAAGATTTCCAAAGGAAATTTTCGATAAAAATACTGTTTTGTCTAAGCGGCAAATATTGCGCACAATAATGACGATTTTTGATCCATTGGGTTTGCTTGGCTTCGCTATTATCCAAGCAAAAATTATTTTACAAGACGTTTGGCGCTCCGGTGTCGGTTGGGACCAACCTATTAAAGAAGAGCAACGCAACAACTGGTTTAAATGGGTGCGACGAATACCTTCTATTAACGGTATACGAATCCCTCGCTGCTTTTCGCTAGCTTTCAAAAGCAAAATCAATGAACTGCACATATTTGTGGACGCCAGTATAAAAGCTTACGCAGCCTTGGCTTACGTGCGTTCAGAGGTAGATACGCAAATATGCTGTACGCTTATAGCATCGAAAACTCACGTTGCGCCGCTAAAACCTATCTCAGTGCCGCGGTGCTGGGGCTACGACTAGCTAATTTCATTGAATCCGAACTGTCCATCAAAGTTAGCCGCAGAACTTTCTGGACGGATTCTAAAAACGTTTTATTTTGGTTACGCTCAGACTCAAGAATGTTTAATCAGTTTGTAGCACTGAGAGTAGGAGAAATTCTTGAAGGCTCTGTCATTAAAGAATGGAGGTGGGTACCGTCCCGTGAAAATATCGCAGATGAAGGAACCAAATGGAGCGATAACCGTGGCTTTGACGACAACCAACGCTGGTTCGGCGGCCCGAAGTTTCTGCTAGAGGAGGAATCTAGCTGGCCGGTTCTGCAATTTTCAGATGCGGATGACGAGGCCGCGGAGGACCTGCATCACACTGACTTCGATGACACCACAACCATGAACACTTCTGTAATAACGCCTGGTGCAAATAGATTTAGTTGCTGGGAGAAGCTACGCACTACTCATCGATTCATACTACGTTTCATACGATTCATAACAAAAGGTAAGCAATGCTCAAAATCATTGGAAGCGTTACTTGGAAAGGACGATTTGGATTCAGCGGAGCTCGCAATAATGATTAATTGTCAAGGGGAAGTGTTCCACGAACAAATTAGTCGGCTGCGCAATGGTGAGCAAATAAAACGGAAATCCCCCCTCCTCAAGTTTTCTCCGTATTTAGATCCAAAGGGCGTCCTGCGAGTAAAGGGAAGGATTGACGCTGCTGATGGTGTGACGATTGACGTTAAGCGTCCGATTATTCTTCCACGCGACCACACTGTAACACGACTAATCGTGGACTTCTATCACCGAAAGTTCCACCACCATCACAATGAAATCGTTGTTAATGAGATGAGGCAAAGGTTCTGCATAGCTGCGCTAAGAAGGCTGGTGAAAGAATGTGCTGCCAAATGTCAAACGTGCCGTAATCGCAAGGCTTATCCACGACCGCCTCAAATGGGTGATCTACCTACGGAACGAGTGTCACCTTTTACCAGACCTTTCACCTTCACAGGGGTGGATTATTTTGGGCCCATCGACGTGGCTGTCGGTCGAAGGTGCGAAAAGCGTTGGGGCGCCTTATTTACATGCCTCACCACTCGCGCGATTCATATTGAGATCACGTCGTCTCTGTCTACTGAGTCGTTTCTTCTGATTTTCAAACAGTTCGTGAGTCGCCGCGGTGTACCGAAGCGAATTATATCGGACAACGGCACTAACTTCCGTGGCGCTAGTAGGATGCTTTTAAATGAGATTGAGAAGATATCGTCGGAAGACATAGAGAAAAGGCATCCTGAAATTGAGTGGTCCTTTATACCGCCTGCTTCACCGCATATGGGAGGAGCTTGGGAGCGGATGATCCGCTCAACGAAATCAATTTTAATGGACATTCTGCCAGGTGCAGGCTTGCGTGAGGAGGTGCTAAGGGCGGTTTTAGCCGACGTCGAAAACATTCTGAACTCGAGGCCACTGACCTACGTTCCGTTCGAGTCTGGTGAGCACGAAGCTCTTACGCCAAACCATTTCCTTCTTGGAAGCTCTAGCGGCATTCGTGAGATAACAAGCAACGATAACTCCGCATCTGGACTCCGAAGAAACTACCGAATTTCCAGTCAACTGGCCGACCAATTCTGGAGACGTTGGATTCGGGAATATCTACCTTGTCTTACCAGACGCCCAAAATGGTACCAGCCACCGGCGACTCCAATCAAATTGAATGACATAGTAGTCATCGTGGATGAAAACTCCAAGCGAAATTCGTGGCCTAAGGGAGTAGTGACTGACCTTCATTTTGGTAATGACGGGCAAGCCCGTAGCGCAGTAGTGAAGACAGTGAACGGATTATGTACGCGGCCGATAGTGAAGTTGGCGAAATTGGACATCGAGGCTGAGAAAAGTGTAGTAAACGTCAAGCACGTACCCGCATGAGATTTACGGAGGGGGATGTTGCGAAAGGTCGCGTTGGCAACCCATTTCGCATTTTTTCACATCCTCTTTTTTTTTCTATTCGCCAATCGACGCCTGTCAAATATCAGCAAATTTAGTTCTTTCCATTTTGACTGTTAACAAAAGCGCATGGGCGTAGCAGATATATAAAGTGTAAGTTTATTGTAAATCGAGAATCTCATATGAATTGTAAAACTTATTAAATTCAATAAAGTTTTCAGCTTCTGATACTTGCAAATATACATAATTTGCGAAGTCTTTGCTTTTTATTTGTTAGAAGCTTTAGAAAACGCTTCCGCTGCACGTCGCACTGCCGTCGTTTAACAATATTAATAGAATTAATTAATTTTATTTAAAGAAATGGCGCGTCGTCTATTTCCGCTGTAGCAAACGTAGTACATAGGGCGACATCTAGATGTCATCTACCTCGCCCTATTCACTACAGATGTCGCCCTATGCACTATGCTTTTTTATAGGAACTTTTCAAAGCAAAGGTTTTATGGTGTCGGACACACAACATTGAAAGTTTCTGGATCCACAACATTGAAAGTTTCTGGACACACAACATTGCAAGTTGATAAAAGCGTTGTAAAAACATCTCCTCTCCCTCTACCAGTACTCCCGGTTTGGATTTTCGCTCCCGTGAAGAGTGGGTCTATGACCACAGCCAGTCGCTTGCTCCGTACTGGTATGATGGGCGGTTTGGAGTTGTGTGTTTAAAGAAAATTGCTAGCCGGTTGTTCGTTGCAACTCTCATCGCGATGCCTTTTTGTATAGTGCCATATGCGTACCTTGGCTTATTGGTAGTGAGCCGCGTCGATACTCCTCAGATTTAACATACGCCAAAACGATCCCAGAATATATATCGTCTATCACAATGTGACCAATTTGATTACTCTTCCTTTGACCGGAGGACACCCAAGCGACATTATGGATGTTACAACATAACAGTCGACTATTGGACCAATCAGCCCCTTTTCCTCAGCTTAGCGTTAAACTTGCCAAGCACAATTTTTATATAGTGGCGGAAAGGATAAATGTATATATGTCATATATATTTTGTTGAGACATCCTAATGTGGGTGAGTGTTGCACACGAGCACCGAGTAAGGCCAAGATTCAAACCCTCATCCGAGTAACATCCCCAAAAAAAAATATTTTTTTTCTAATAGCGGTCGCACCTTGGCAGACAATCGGAAACCTTCTAATGATAAGAAACGGCTCCTTATAAAAACATCTGCCATTCGGAGGGGGTGAGGACTTCCAAGCGCTTAGCAAAATATATGATGTGCCAATTAAATTTCATCCTAATGTGCGGCATCCTAAATTTGTAAGTACATACATATGTAAGTGTGTACGAATATTGCATATATACTTGCTTGTCTTTAAATATAAGTTGTATGTTTTACTGCATCTATGTAATTGTATCAATTGCAAGCAATCGGCGCGTTCATTATCTCCCAACGCCCGTTCGACCAGTTAAGGTAGGGGGGAGGCAGAGATGGGGCGTAGATAAACTGAAGCGCGCTTCGCTCCAGTCATCAGTCGGACGCTTTGAGTAATTAAAGCCGCTCTTTTGGCTGCGATCTCAAAGTGCCTACAATCACACATGCAATATTCACACACGCAAAAAGGCAGCTCCTCACTTGTTTGTATGCAAAGTAGGGGCAAATTTATGCAAGTCCATATCTTATGACAGAAATGATGAAAATGGAATCATTGCGTGCCACGAACAAATTCACATTTCCCGCATTATGTATGATAAGTAAGTATAATATTTGCGTGTTTCGGTTGTGAATTTTTTAATGAAGAATAGTTCTTGGAAGCAGTCTGCATGCATCTCAAATAGACTTGCACACATATGCTCGTACAAAAAATATAAGTTGCACTTTATTTACATACTTTCGTGAAGACACATAAAACATACATATCTGTGGACATTTGAAAGAACAACTTAAGTCTATCTGCCAGAGACAAAAAAGAAAAATAGCAGAAGTCGACAAACCTTGTTTCACCGTCAATGAAACAAATTTTGTACATACAGTATATTTTGCTTTGCTGCCTTTATGCTTAAGTGCACATTTAA